AGTGTTTTGCCCATTTCTGCTATCTGACCCAACAACTGAGTTACGTTCCCGGGTTTTAGTGGGACACAAAGTTAAAACTTGGGTATTTCCCCAGACTTAATTCCCACACTGCCCGTATAATAAGTCTGGTGGGGCATGGTGATGGATTGTAACGTTGACCGTGCCAAAGAAATAATAATGAACAAATTTCAAGTTCTTTTCTATAATTTAGCAGAGCAGATTAATATCAATTTCTTTTATAACCACATGACTATACTTTGCACTTGGAAACTTTTTGTTTTCCTCATAATTTGTGGCAATAAACATTTTTCCGGAAATATATCTGGCATATGTTCTGTATATGTTATCTGGTTTTGACGGATATATGTAACCATATTCTGCTCTTCATATGATTAACTTCAGCTGTTGAGATTGACATGGCAATTTAGTTCAAGTTTTTTGGTATGGCTAGCTGTTGTTTAAATGTGCCCTTTTTTTTTCAACCTTATGCATGTTGGCTCTGGGTTGTGCAATCTAATATTGGAGCTGAGAATGCCATACTGATAGGAAGCTGGTGACGTGACAGTGTGTACATTATTTTAGTGCTTGGCAAAAACAGTTGACTCTGTGAGTGATGTGGCATTATTTTAAGAAACACACACTATACTCCAACAAAGGCTGTCGTGGAAGCATACTCGATTATTCTGAAGCTATAATATAAACATCGGAGCACCGATTAATTGAAGAAAAAGTTCAAAGGAGCATTAGTCTGTCAAACTTCAATTTGATTGTTCTTGGCCTGAGCAGTGACTCCTATTATGGTATCAAATAAGTCTGTGCAGCTTCAACCCATTCTCTTCAGTGATTTTGGAGATCCATTTACGCCCCAAAATTCTTGTGTGACACTTATTGTGGGTGGTGCCCTTGTTTTCTTATTCAGCTAAAACTGGTACAATGTGTTTATTATCTCCGTGTTGTGTATATTTAATGTAAACCTTTTTTTGCTGAGTCAGCTAGTTGTATTGAGGTAATTGACTTTGGACATCCAATGTAAGTTAATTATAGCTACTATAGAATTGAGCAAATATAGGCCTCAGGGTCAGATGTATCAGATTTACTGATGGCCTAACTCTACAACTTAGCATGAAAGTCGGTTTCTCTGTTAACTATCTAAGGATTAATTCAATAAAGGGTAGAAGATTGCAAATTATGCCTGTAAAGGGTCGTTTTAATCAATGTTTGATTTCGCACTTAAGGTGTTGATGGCAGGTTCTCTGCACCTGCGCCAGTCGCAGCAGCCCCTGGGGACAAAGATCAATGGTTTGATTGCTGTTTGTGTTGAGGTCATAATATTGTGAAAATCATAAATTGGTTTAGTTTGAATTAGATGGATAATCAAGGTATTTCTTGTATGGTAATCGGTTTAAGTTTTGGGACTTTTTTTCTGACTTCAGAATATTTGTTTGAGTACCTTCATAATAAATGTCGAAGGACTAAATGTTAACCAATTTCCAAATGTTTAAATTTGACAGCCAATCAGCAGACATTAGCTAGTAAACACCAATAATGTCATTTTATCTGCGCAATATATTACTACAAGTTGAACTATCAACCATCATTTATCTAAATGATCACTGATTCAGCAAGTCCTAGGACACATGATGGCTATATCTACTGATCGTTTAACTCCCCGCTACTGCTTTTATTCTATTTAAACTTATTCTTATATTCATTCTTGAGTATTGGGAGAACTATGGCTGGATTAGACTTGTTTAGGAGAATATGTATTGAGTGATATTGTCTCCCATCCATATTTTTGGTTTGCAAAGTTTTTTTTTTTTATTTATCAACATTTTTCTGTATTCAAAATATGCATGTCAAATAGGCCACCATAGATCAACAAGGTGGCACAAAAATCTGCATTTTCGGTGAATAAGTTCGTGTTTCAAAGGCTACATCAACACACTGTGATTTCCGTACTTTGAGTAAAGCTTTATGTAATCTCTTTATTTATTTTTTTAATGCCTTTATTTAAGGTCGCCGCCAGAAGCATCATGGAGTCCGTACCTCAAGTGGGTCTCTGAGGTCCCCGAGATTTTTTCGTTGATTTTTTTTCCGCTTTTATGGTGAGGAGCAGGATGCCTCTGGGCTTATTTAGGCACGGGGCACCTGGGTAGTTCACTATTCCGTGTGCCGCTTCTACATGATGTCAGCTAACTACGCTGACTGTAATTGCCACTTATTCAGTATTTTGTTGTGAAATTACAAATAAACCTTGACTATTACAGTCAGTGCATTTAGGGAATTAATACTTGAACAGTTAAAATGTTTTACCTCATGGGCGTAAATTTAACCATCATATTAAGAAGCATGGGCATTATACTTGAATCAATTTAACAAGTTGATACTTTACTATTTCAATCTCTGCAATGAATCTCAATAACAAAGATGAAGTTACTTAAACACAAAACCAATTGTTTCGACTAAGAAGAAATTTTTTGGTCTTTTTTAAATTTAATCCCGCCCTAGTCTTTACGGAGAAAATCAAATAAAAGAAAAACAAAATCAGACTTTGTAATTTCATGGCATAGACTACAGACAAATCCCCGTACCAATTTACTGCCATAATTCCTTCACAATGTGGAGAAAACGAGAAATAAGATTGTCCAATAAACAAACCATTTAGTGCTTGCCTGCACACACAGCAGTCTAATTGCTCTGCATGACAAAACCAAAGATTTCCTGTAAAACTTCAATCAACTTCTGAAATAACCTTTCCTACCAGAAAAAAAAAATATTGATCAAGCCAGAGTGTTTCCTGCAACAAAATGCACAGGGAAAGCTGAAATCAACAGAAACATAGAAATAAATTACGAGAATTGAACATGGGAGAAGAGAACAAATTAAAGATCAATGCCAATGTCTAAAGATTGCTATCTTGAATTTGTATCTCAAGAAATACAAAATACATGACGCTCTCTAGAAATTTTTCATTGTACAAAAAAATTCATTCTTTTTTTGGATACAAACAAAACATCATATTGGAACATTTAGATTATTAGCATCCTATCAATTCACTAATTAAACAAGCACATCTTCAAAAAGCTTTTGTCACTTTAACTGAATTGATAGAATTTGGTTAAGAATGTAGCCCAGTAATAATACTTCTTCAATTTCGTTAAGTTATGTTTATTCTTATATGCTAAAGTTTTATTCGGTATTAGATTTAGTTTGAAAATACCAGTAAAAGTATAAATGTTTAATCGAACTTTTAAAAATGCTTTAAAAAAGCTCTGAATATGTGCAAAACAACTTTAATATTTACAATGAACAGTTCTTGTTTTATTAAGAATGCAATTTGGGAAGTTATAATTTGACAGTTAAATAATTATACTTTCTGGTATACCTGTAAGTTTTTTGTAACGGAATGCAGTCTTTAACTTAGGAATTTTTTACTCTCATGTTTCAGGACCTGTTAAGTAGTGATTTTTTGTTCTCGATGTACTTTTTTGTATTTTGCTGTTTCCAAGCATTCTATAGAGATCCTTTTTTCCAGTTCAATCATATGATATTCAATTTAGTTAAATTTTTCTTGCATGATAGTCATTTTTCTATTAAGACATGTGTTCTTTGTTAATCTTGCAGACAAGCATGCATTATTTATCACTTTAGCCTTTACATGTAATTTTATTGTTACTGACTAACCCCTAACACTTGTTCTAAATTAGCTTGCAACAAAGCGGTTCATGTGGATAGACAAGATATAACCGCATCTTTCAATTAACTCAGCACAATCATGGATCTTAACTGCAGATTTTATTTTTGTCAACATGAGTTGGGTAAGAACTTATAGAATGTCTTTTTAATCTTACACCTTAGCACCCATGCCCGATGCGATTTTGCTTTGTTAGGGAATTGTCATCTGTTGTTTCCCTGTGCAAAAAGAGTACTCTGTAAACCTAAATATTGATTTAAGATTTATATTTGTAGGTACGGTTATATTACGTATGATTGTCTTGTTAGAATTACTGCAAATTTGCTTCACTTAAAGGCATTTATATGTGATATGGCTTACTTGAGTATATGCCTCAAAAAAATGTTTTTTGGTCAATTATATCTCTCTGAAAGTATCTTATCTGACAAGCAATTGTCTTTTTGTCTAAGAAAGTTACAGCCTAATGCTAGAAGTCAAAAGGCTTGAATCTTTCAGCGTTTGAATGACCAAGATCATAAATTGGCCTTCAGTCATGAGCGTTAATATAGATGATCTATCGGCAATTTGATTTGGTTCTTTTCACTCAAGCCTGCATATGTCTTGCCCACATCTTTATGTCATCTTGCGAGTAAATATGTATTTGTGGAGAAACAAGTTGTCATTTGTGTGTGTCTCTACTTTACTGAGAAGCTTTCCTGGCTTCTGACATACAGATCAATTGATTTTGTTCATGTGTGAAAGGTTTGTTGGAGTAATTTTTTGTCGTTTGTGAAACGCTTCTGTGTTATTTTACAGGTAGCTAATACAGTTATTCGTTTGCTGACGACCTTTTAAATCACTTTGTTTTAAAGTAAATAAATTCCCAACATAATCGCTTGTGGGTGGCAGAACAGTACCCACTTAAATTATTCAGTTTGCATAATTTTGCAAACCTAAACCCTACGTATTGTAAGATCTTTATTTAAATCTTGCATGTACCTTAACTATTACATAATTTGTCATTAATAACATGCTTTTCTATGTAAATTGTCTTCACTTATCATTGCTGTGGTTCCGTCACAGGGATGGTGGCTCTTTTTGGAAGGACAGCTTAGGTAATCAAGCCCTGAGATGCCTGCTCATGGCTGAAATAATGCACAGAGAGGCACCTGGTAACTTTCTCCACCAATTAAAGCCATATAGCCTTAACAGCTATGGGTGACTAAAAACCTAAAATGATATATTTCAATTGGCAAATAAATTCATGTCTATGTATAATGCCTATTCAAGGAGTTATAGTAAAAAGGGAGATAATTCTTTAACTTACGTGTCGGACGACTTATACACAAGATTCTTCATCTCTTCCATACTTTTCTTTCTGTCTCAGGACTTTAGCTTATCCATAATCTGTAATAAAAATAATGTAAATAATTATGTTAAACCTCTGTCTGTTGTGTCATATAATTTTTATGATCACATTTTAGTGTTGAACAAGTTTTTTAATGTAAATAATCACCCAGGTCTCCATATCAAAACTAATGTCACATGATATGCATTGAAATTTTCTGTAACCCAAAACAACATATCAATTCTGCTTCTTTATTTCTATTCAGTCACAGTAGCCTTGATGGCATAACATGAGGTGTTGGGTAGACAGTGTGCTCCACTATTCTCACTGCCTATGTAGAATTTTATAAGTTCAAAAATGGCCATAATTCTGTCAAAATCCATGTTATAGTTATGGGCCTTGGACACTGGGACTTCAAATTATGCTCTCAAATAAGTGTGTAAAGTTTCAACCTTACCCTTCAGTACTTTGAGGATACCTGAACTTCAACAAAAAAACTTAACAAAATGTGTGGTGAGTACAATAGCTCTCCCTATTCTTCAAATAGTAATTCTTTGAATAAAATCATTAACTTAATTTATATTGGTAATGCACTGCATTGACCTTAATCCTTACACTACATAATTTATAAAGATTAGACTACTAAATTGCCCTCATGCCCTGAGCTATTAATTTGAAATTGTCCATGATATAGATTTAAAGATTATAATGAACTTTAAAATTGAACAACCAACAGTATAGGTGCCTCACAGTGTCAGACTGAAGATGTACCTTATACTGAAATGGTTAATTTATTTCAACTCATTCATTTACTGCATGTTTATTTGGAATCCATGACTTTTAAAGCTACATATTTTAATGACACACAAAAATATTGCAACTGATATCAATTTTCTGAATAACCATAATTCATTTACATTTCTTACATTCCAATTTAAAGCTAATCATAGAAAATATAGCTCTAAAACTCTCTTAAGTTTTGCGTTCTGATCAAAATTGCAGCACTAAATCACAGACATTTTGCCCTAAAATTTGAAAAGTTAAACCAGAAAGCATTTACCATGTGATACATTTTAAGCAATAATTTCAAAAGATTGTATTTTAACAATAAAGATCAATACCAGTGTCTCAAAATTTGATCAGGAGAAACAAATTGTACAGTTTCAAACTAAGGCAGACAAATTAAGGGCTTAAAGGCAGACATTTTAAAGAAAAACAAGAAGGTTATGATGGCCCTAAATAGCTCACCTGATGATAACTGTTCACATGAACAAAATTTCAATATTAGCCAATTCCAAATGAGCTTCACTAAAATGTGCCTAGGGGTCATTTAAGTCTTATATTTATATTAAGCTTGCAGGCAGCCATCTTATAACTCTATCATATAAGTAACCGTGTCTGAGGTTGTCCACATAGTTTGATTCATGAACTGGATCATACATATTCACTGGGGAGAATCACGCCATTCATTACCCAAACAAACAAGATGAGGGACACAGCCAATACATAAGTTTTTCCTTTTTTTACTCGGAAATTCGCAATGTTCTAGTATAAATGTACAAACAATAACCTTTCACAATTTTCCGGGCACGCAGGATTTTATTTCATGATGTTTCGTCCTGTACTTCATCTGAAATGCGCGTCACCAGCTTCGAAGCAAGAGAATTTTCCACCGGTTTGATCGTGAAAATGAATGGCTTCTTCTATCAAATTCACTGTTTCTTTAACATATTTGTACATTAACTGAAACCACTGACTTTAAAAAGCTGTAATATGTCGTCATCTAAGCACAGAGGAAAATTCTCTTGCTTCGAATCTAGTGACACACATTTCAGATAGAGTACGGGATGAAACATCATGAAATAAAATCCTGCATGCCAGGAAATTGTGGAAAAGGTTATTGTTTGAAACTTTACACTAGAACATCACGAATTTCAGAGTAAAAAAAGGAAAAACATACATATCGGGTGCATCCGCCATCTTGTTTCCTGGGCCGGGTAACGAATGGCGTGAATCTCCCCTGTGATATTTCTAAGATTAAATGTGCTCAGTTCACCAACAATTATTGTAGATATAGTTCAAGATATGCCAGTTTATGAACAGTTATTTGTTCAAATTGATGAACAGTTCATGAACTGAATTTATTAATTGACTTCATGAACAGTTCATGTACTTAATGACTTAACTTCAATGATTGTTATTTCAGTTACCACAATTTCTCAACATTTTATTTTGAAATTCCCTTATATTGACATTAATATAGGACAATTCTGAGAAATCAAAGCAGGGAAAACTGAATACACAAAGTAAGCAGGATAAATGTGAATGAGATGAACTCTAAAATTAAACTAATTCTATCCAGGTGTTAAAAGTCATTTTTCATTTAAATTTTGATATTAAATTTTAACAATATGAAATTTTAGATAAAAAGTAAAATGTTAAATAAAGTTGAACTTAACTGACAAAAAATCGAAAATCCGTTGCATATTCCTTTAAATACTAAGCTTATAACTTGAAATTAACATAAACATCATGTTATATTATTTGTTAAATATTCCTTAGACTTTAACAGTCATATAAAGTGAAATAATATACATATAACATACATTCAGTATATCATAAAACCAAGATGTTTAAAATGTGGTAACTTAACAATTTTCTCTATATCTATATATGTATGTAAATGTCTGAGAAGTTAGTCAGTGTGAAACAGATCTATCTCAGTATTTTAAACAAATATGGTAAAAACATTTTGTTTGCACTGACCCCTTGTATGTATTTAACCCAGTGTTCTGGTATCATTTTATTAGCAATTAATGAAGATTTTGTACCATAAGAAATGTGAATCAACTCTCCACTCTTTAATTATAACCCTCCTTGATCAAATCAAATCATCCTTTGAAGTATTATATACGTATTAAATAGATATTTACCTTGTGACCGATTTTTACGATTTTTTCTCACGAAAAACCAAAATCACAATGATAGAGTATTCTGTTTAATAACCATTTTTTTAAAAACACATACTTAACTTAGCAAATATTAAAATATTAAACACTTGCTCTTAAGCATATATTTTGTCTCACTGCCAAGCATATGGAGAAATCGACTTGGAGGTTTAAACGTTTGGGAAAACACAAATATCGACAGTTATTTAACGCATCAAGAAGTTAATCTTGTAGGAAATACATATTCCTTTTTGACCTGTATTAATATTGTACCAGTACAGTTAACTTAACCACCATGTTGATTTATAATATAACATCTGTCATATGTTTCTGATATATAGAAAATAAAACTTAATAAATAATTATATAATTAAATGGAAATTATTTTCAACATGAGAAAATATTTATAATTCTGAGTCTTAAATTTATTGTAAGCTTTAAAAGCAGCACAACTCCAGATTAATGCTTATTTTCATGAAAATTTTGAAAATGAAATTAAATGTATATTATTGTATAGTAACAAAAAGGAATCATTTTACAAATTATCAATGGCACTTACAAGTTACCCACGTTTATTACAAAAAGAGGTCAAAATATTCAAAGAATGCCTTTACTGTGCTAGTAAGGCAGTAGCAATATAGTTACACATAGTGAAAATTTCACCATTAATCGCTCATAACATATTAATTATTACTTGAATTTTTCTACTTTTCCTAAAATCTAATTTTTCTAACATTTTTCACAAGTTTGATTTATTGAAATATATTCGCTCATCTGGAGGCATGCTGCTTTAAGTTTAAAGCCAATATGAACCGACAAGAATAAACTAATTGTCTCGAATTCTTACATAAACAGCTCGATAAAAAGTATTTATCATATGCATATTATATGCATACAAATATTCTTTTATATTTTTTAAAGTTCAATATTTATAACTGCAGATAAAAGTTAAACTCTTTTTTATATTTAAAGAAATAGATCTTTATTTTTAAAGTCTTCGATCTACTTAAATACATTTAAACGTTATGCTATTTTTATCATAACGTGACTTAATTCTTTAAATTTCTATTCAATGGGTAAAAGTTGATCACTTAAAGATATATAACACTAAATGACTCATGACAACAAATACAACTTATTTTGAATAAAAATGAATTATACGTCCCTGTCAACTTACAGACAGTTTTAGGTACTGACGTCCTGACTGAAAATTTTAAAGACATAATTATATTTATGGCATTTATAAAGCTTTATAATAGTTCTTAATGCCACTCTTTATAATGTTCTCCTTAATAAAATTATATAACAATCATGTCATTCAGGCAACCAAGTTGGTGTACATATTAAATATGTTATCCCCGTCATTAACGATATTAAATATGTTACCCCCTTCATTAAAGATATCAAATATGTTATCCCCCTCATTAACAATATCAAATATGTTATACCGCTCATGAACAATATTAAATATGTTATACCCCTCATTAACGATATTACATATGTTATCCCCCTCATTAACGATATTAAATATGTTATCCCCCTCATTAACAATATCAAATATGTTATACCCCTCATTAACAATATCACAATTATGCAATATCCCCCTCATTAATGCATAAATATTATATAGTTAATATAGGAGAAAAATGTACTTTTTGAAAATTTATTTAGCAGTAAGTTAAATTATGATCGATACCCCAGTCATGCATGCATCTACCCCCACCTACACAGAACATTATATCGAAGAATGACAGGTATGTACATAAGATATCAATCATCCTATCTGAAGATATAATGTTGATATACTTCATCAAAGATACCTGTCTATCAATAGTTGATTAATTTGATTACAGCCTGATTTAGGGACATTTATCTACTAATAGTGGATAATATTATCCACTAAATTAATAGTTACTGAAGGAAATCATTCATGTCAAAGTCATATCTAAATCATACAGGCTATACTGTCATGGCATTGTTTTAACATGATTTAGACCAGTATTAGGTTCCTTTTCAACATGGGAGTATCAAAAGTTTTATATACATTGTATGTGTACATGACTGTTTTGTATATCAATAATTATCTATTGTGAACCTAATTAATTGTGCCA